CATCATAGGAGATGTAATTATGTAACTTTCATTCCAGAAGACTCCTTCTGACTTCTATACTGATGTAGAATTTGACATGATTCATCATAAGGAACTTCTTTAGAGGTAGTTTCTGGGCATTGAATGTTTCAAAATGTAATGTTCTACATAGTACAGTAAAGTATCTTAAAACTTTTTAAATAGTTTTTCAACGAAGAAGTCTAATACCATGCATGTGTGTTGGTGTACTAGTTCTAAAATTTGAAAGTATGAATGCTCAATTTTTGGAAGAAACATAGACTCAAAGAATATAACAAGTTTATGTATTTCTGCAGGGTTCAGAATGTCACTAATTAGTATTTTAAGACAGATTTGATGTTGAAATGCATAATGAATAATTAAAATTTAAGTGATGATTATTAATTTTTAAAGGGATGTCTTAGAAATTTCATGAAAACACTTCACTACAATGAGGCAGTTCAAGCCCCTCCACTGCCACTTACAGATACAGAGAGGAAAGCACTGAGATGGGGATGTTAAATATTTCAAATGTATTTGAGTCTCTTATTTTATCTCCATTTCTTTTTATAATATTAAAAATGTGTGGGGTGTATTTTCAACTATGTAAGATATCATTTGGAAAAATTTCATACTTTATCTGACCTTTCATGTAATGAGAATGTAACAGATACTGTTATAGAAACTATCACAAAACGCTTAACCTGATACCATACAATGAGACTGTGCAGTCTCCCTGATTATCTGTATATGTAAAACAGTAAGTATGGTTATATACGAACATATGACTGTATGAAGGCTAAAGGCTTTATTTTTTTAAACATGCAGGCTATTTGTAGAAAATAGAAGTAAATAGCACCAAGAAAACGTTACTCATTTATCTATTATTTTATGATTACTATTTCATTGATTTTCTTTTTCAGACAACTGGAAGTTTAACACTATGGCCAATTCCACCATGGTGACTGAATTTCTTCTTGAATTTTTTGGTGAGACGTGGGAGGTCAGACTCCTGCTCAGCATGCTGTTCCTGCTGATCTACCTCGGCAGTCTGCTAGGGAACCTAACCATCGTTATGGTTACCACCATTGACCAGAACCTCCATACACCCATGTACTTCTTCCTCAGGAATCTGTCCATTTTAGACATCTGTTATGTTTCTGTCACAGTCCCCAATGCCTGTGTCAACTCGCTCACTGAAAACAGGGGTATTTCTCTGGCTGGGTGTTCTGTACAGATCTTTTTAGTCTTCTTTTGTGCATGTATGGAAATTATCTTACTCACTGTGATGGCCCAGGACCGCTATGTGGCCATCTGCCAGCCCCTCCTCTATCCTGTCATCATGAACACCCAAGTCTGTATTCAGATGACTCTGGCTTCTCTACTCCTTAGTCTTGTCATAGCCATTTGGCACACCGTGAAAACATTCCAACTCTCCTTCTGTCACACTAACGTGGTCCCTCAGTTCTTCTGTGATGTCCCCTCTCTGCTGAGGCTCTCTTGCTCAGACACATTTAACAACAAACTGTTAATTCTCCTAACTGCAATCATCATTAGTGGTAGCTGCTTTATCTTCATTATTGTATCATATGTTCACATATTTTCTACTGTGTTGAAGTTTCCTCTGAAAGAAGAGAGAGGAAAGGCCTTTTCCACCTGTGTTCCTCACATTATTGTGGTGTCTCTGTTCCTTATCTGTGGTGCCTATGTGTATCTAAGACCTCCAGTCATCTCAGAAGTGATTCAGGACATGATTCTGTCTGTACTTTATGCAATTGTTCCACCATTCTTAAATCCTATCATCTATAGTCTTAGAAATAAACAGATAAATGAAGCTGTGAGTAAAGCAATATTAAGAATATTGAAATTAGGAAAATTTAAAAGAGCTTTATTTTAAGGTTGAGAGTCACGGTGTGAGATTCAAGATTTAAACAGTCTCCTTTCTGAGTTTTGTGTACTAATATTATTTTGCTCTCACTGTATTGGCACCTGAGTAATACATATTATCACTATTATCTGTTTCCCTCTCGTTTATCATCCAAGAAGTAAAAATGTATTTTAAAGTTCACTATTGTTTTAATCATGTTACTATATGGGCTATATTGTGACAATCTGATAACAACACATGAAATTTAATGATGAAATTTAAAAAACTATAATTTATAAATCATGAAAATTTTATTTTTGAAAGATGTAAGAATTACATACTTCGGCAGATAGTTGTGTCTAAATATATTTGTTGCACACTATTTCAGGTTAATTATAATAAGAATTTTTACATTATCAGTTATCAGACTTGATGCTGTCACAAAGGATACTTTAATAGATTCAATATATTGTGATTTATATAACCATATTTCAGACAGACTCATTGCAATGTAATATATACTACACATAATTATAAATAATTTAGAATTTGATGTATTCAAATATATGATCATCTATGGATTGAACCAACACTTATATTTCAATCCATTTGGAACATGAAAATATATGTCCTTGTGATGGTTAGCATTGTGAAACTGGCAGACTCTAGAGTCAGCTGGTAGATAGACCTCTGTGCATACATATGAAGGATTATCCTGAGTACGTTGAGAAGGAAGGACTATCCCACTGGGAGAGTCACTCTTCTTTCCTTGGGAACCCAGACTGTATAAATGGGGGAGGGGAGATGAGAAGCATGCATTTGTTACTGAGCATGTGTGCAATGAGAGCAGCCAGCATCCTGCTCAGGCCATGTATTCCTTCACTGCTGCCATGTCTTCTTTGACGTGATGGACTGTGACCTTCTCGAACTGGAAAATAAAAAACTTGTTCTGTTTTAGTTTCTATTGCCAGGGAATTTTATCAAAGAAGTTGAACAAACACTAAAACATTCTACAAAATAGAAATAATGAGTTTATGGATTCAGCCTAATATCTGATGGAGTGATAACCTGCTTTAAAGCAATTATTATTGATTGATTCATTCATTCATTTATATATTTAGTTATTTATTTTTTATTTGTGATTTAGTTTATGTGTGCTCTTGAATCTAGATATGTACACCATGTGCACTCACAAGCCCATGGGATTCAAAAGGAAGTGTCAGATTCCTTGAATCTTGAGCTACATGCCATGTGGGCACTGTGACTGAATCTAGGTCCTTGTTGCACTAAATTTTCCTCTTCCCCCTCCTTGGGGTACCTGCAAGTGTGACCTCTGAGCTCCTAGGGCTGACTAAATATACAGAATACCTTCTATTTGTGTTTTGCATAGTTTATGACATCCGGGTGTGGGTAACTTATAAAGTCATGAATTGTCATAGGCTTTTGCTTTCCCATATTTGAAATTTGCCTGTCATCAGCGTGTCCTACCCACAGTCTCCACCAGCTTTTTCATGCAGTCTCACCTGCAGTTTGCAGCTCTGTTTCCAAAAAATAAGGTGAGGCTCCTCACCTTTTCCCAGTGTGCTCAGTGTCTTTCAGCATAGGTCTCTAGACCTGCCCTTGTTTAGTTCTAGCTTTTCTGAGGATGCCTACTGAACACTCCACCACTTTCTCTAGCTCTCACAATATTTCTGCCAATCTTCTGCAAGGGACCCTGAGCCTTGCAGGAAACGACAGATGCAGGACCAGCTCTCTTGCATCATGGTGAGATACTGACCTCTTGGGCCTCCCCATCATTCATCTTCAAGACATGCCACTAATCCATCTCAGTGGTGACTCCCCTACTATAAAGACAAATGTAAGGAAGTAGACACATCTAAACAAATACAGATATAAACACAAATTCTTATAATATATCCCAGCAGGTGTGCCATATTCTTCAAATAGTTAATATGCAGTGGATTCCTCACTGGAACCTACAGCCTTACTTGACACAGGGAGTTTGTCTGGTCTTCAGCACCAGATGTGTGTTCTACCCATAGGAATAGGCCTTATCTAGTTAGAAAATTGACAGTTGTGCATACTGGGCATACCAAAGTGTGTAGCAGGTGGAGTCCATCACAGTGAATCCTTTTTCCTATATCATCTGCATTGCATCATCTGGCACTGGCCCCTTGAAAGCCATCTCTCAGTAATGCCTGTCCCTCTTTTATGGTCCTCCAGTGCCTGTAATCATGGAAATATCCACTGGTGATGATCTTGTATCTTTAATACTTTAATACTTTGCACAAGCCATTCTATTAGAACTACACTCCCCTGTATAGGCCTATGTTCAACAGCCTATGTCTCAAGAACACATGGGTGATTTTATAACTTACCTGTGATACTTCTGAAGGATACAAACCGATATTATTTCCACCCATGTCCCATACCCTCACAAGCCACATGATGAGGGATGCTTTAATTGCTTCTTTGAAATACTTTTCTAATCCCAACAGCTCTGTTGGGAGACCTTTGTTAAGCAAAAGTCAAAGCTTCTTCACGCCGGATAGCTCATGTAGCTCAGGATGTGCTGCGGGCTCCTTTACATAACAAAGTGCTTCCCAGCATCTTTCCTGCCTCTCCTTTTGAGGTGTCTGCCATGAATACCCTAAACATTAACGTGGCCTTTGGCTCTGAAAAGGTATCATACCTTCCTGTAAATTCCTAGCAGACAACTGTCTGGCAGAAGCCCACTTTTCACATGCAAAAGCATCTAGCAGCCAAGGCTTTCAACACAACCCCCATGGTATAAAAATCTTAGTATTCTCTCAATAGCCAGGAATCTAGGGAAACTGGGAATTTAGGGAAACCGGGAATCTAGAGAAACCGGGCCCAGGAATTCAGGGAGATCAGAGATATCAGAGAACTGGGTCTCAGATAATAAAGCTGTACAGACTAAAACTAAGTCTTGAGACTTTGAGTCTTGTGTACCGGCGACCTAATTCCTCCGGAAGGCAGCACCTTCTGTTACCGACCTACGGATACTCTAGCTTCGCTGTCCTCGTGCCTCTTCCCTGTGGGGTTCAGTGGCCAGGAGCCCCACTATCCTGAGGAAAGGCATACGGGTGTATTAGGGACGTTATCTCGGCTGGACAAACACTCCAGCAGCAGGGGTCATCAGCTACCGCCACTCCCAGAGACGCGGGACCCAAGCCGCCGAGCCCAGGCGCAGATTCAAAGCAGCCGCCGGGAAGTCTGCGAACCCACAGGGAGTGAGCATACGGCTGCTCCCAGGGAGAGAGCACAGCCGCCCATAAGCTCTAGTGTGGAGTATATTCTCATAGATACAGTAATGTTAACTTTTTTCTCTTTTTTAATCAAAGGTTGAATCTGAGGGATACCTTTAGCTACTTTCATTTTTAGGTCATTTCTTTTCTCATTAATATCTGTCTTCCCCATGCCACCCCTCCTCCAGAGTCCTTTGACTCTTGGTCCCCTAATTTTAAGCAAGCTCAAATCTCCCAGTTTTTTTTCTTTCTCAAGCTCTGAGGTTGAGCCTGAATTTTCCAGTTACTTCTTAGTCTTTTCAGCATCCACTGTGGTCACTGCCTTTGCAGTGGACAAATCTTTAATTATGCAGAGAAGTAGCCAAGCCATTTCTCTGGATTCGCCTCTTGGGCCAAGGCTTATAAAGTGTTTTAAAGGCTCTCCACAATCCTTAAAGAATTTTTAGACACATGTGGGAGGTTTGGCAACCATTTCTCAAACAACAGAGCTATTTTCCCAAGTTCACTGGATGGCAGCAACCAGGGGGATTCCCCCTTTGAGTTTAACCACATCCGTGTGGTCCACATCATTTTAGTTACACATTTCATGATCCAATGTATAACTTATGTTACCACTAGTATGCAACAGACCAGCCCAGACCGGGACAGTTCAGTCCGATGGGAACAGGGTCGTCAAGAGGGTGGACAAGGAGTCGGCGAGTGACAAACAGATGCAAAAGGAGCTTGATGAAAGTCTGAGTGTAATTTTCGCAGTTGCAAGGTTTGAAATATATACAGCAAAGATTACAAAAAACCGCAGAACAGTCATGCTAAGATTCACAGTTCCAGAGGTGAAAGTAAAACATAATTTTGCCAACATATCTCTCTATCTACCTGACACTAGACAGTAAATTCCTGTTTTACTGTGTTTGTTTTTCTTTTTTACTGTCAGCCTTTCTCACACACTTAAGATTCTGCTCGGCTTTGTAATCCCAGGTCAAGATGGCCTTGATTCATTAAGCACCCCATTAAGCACTTCCAACACATGCCAGGTGTTACTTTTTTAACGATCTCATAACATTCCTTGCTTGTTTGTAGTGGGCCACAGGGCTTCTAAGTTAGTTTTAACTCTATAAATCCCAAAAAGGCTATTTCATGCTAGGGATCCATGAATCCATACTTTTCTCTTATCCTACCAATTTTTAAATACTTTCTATATTTGCTCTTTAATGCTCTCTTATTGATTGTTTATCAAAAGACTCCAAAGTGGTCTTGATCTTACCAATTTATCCATGAATTGTAATGAATAACAAGAAACCCTTCTTCTATCTATATTTATCTATCTACATTTTTCTTCTAGAAATCTATTATTCCCTGGACTTTCCAGCATTAACTCTGCCTAGTCACTTCTCACTAAGAGCTTTAGAATTATATTTTTCTGATCCTATTACCTGAGTATTAAGGGTCCAATCCAAGCCCCCAGAGGCCGTTTTATAAGAAATGGCCGTGGAGTAACAAGATACAGTGACAGAAAATTAATAGCAAGTAAGAGCATGCCAGGTACACTGCATGTTTCTTATCACAACCAATTCCAAGAGGCAACCTTCCTTGAAGTTCCAGCCTCAACCCATGGAGGATCTCACGTGGGCTTCATTGGAGATGGCATGACACTAGTAACCCCATTGCACTTCCAGAGCTCCTGCAGTTTGTTGATTCCAACGTAATCCTGGCTGTGCCAATTTGTTGCACTAAATTTTCCCCTCCGCCCTCCTTGGGAGACAT